GATGACATGTTAGATGAGTTGCATGGTTCTTGCATATTCTCTAAAATTGATTTAAAGAGTGGATATCATCAGATTAGGATGAAGGAACGTGATGAACGAAAAACAGACTTTAAAACAAAACATGGTTTATATGAGTGGTTAGTTATGCCATTTGGATTAACTAATGCGCCTAGTACATTCATGTGATTAATGAATCATGTTTTGTGTGCTTTCATTGGCAAATTTGTGGTTGTTTATTTTGATGACATTCTGGTATATAGCAAGAGTTTAACTGATCATATTGAGCATTTGCAAATGGTACTTGAGGTTCTAAGAAAAGAAAAGTTGTTTGCTAACCTTAAAAAGTATTCCTTTTGCACCAATCATATTGTCTTTTTAGGGTATTTTGTTGCAGCTGATGGACAAACAAAAGTGGTTAATAGGACGTTGTCAACCTTATTACGATCTATTATTCAGAAGAACTTGAAGAATTGGGAAGAGTGTTTGCCGCACGTTGAATTTGCTTATAACCGGAGCATCCATTCAGCAACTAACTGCTCGCCATTTGAGGTTGCATATGGTTTTAATCCACTCACTTCTTTGGATTTATTGCCATTACCTATTGATGAACAAGCTAGTTTGGATGAGAAAAAAAAGCTGAAGTGGTTAAGCAACTACATGAGAAGGTGCAACAAAACATAGAGCGACGAATTGAGCAGTATGCAAATCAAGCCAACAAAGGGCAAAAGAAAGTTGTGTTTGAACCTGGACATTGGGTTTGGTTGCATATGCGGAATGAGCGATTCCCTGTACAAAGGTGTTCTAAGTTGCAACCACAAGGCGATGGACCATTTCAAGTGATTGCAAGATAAACGACAATGCATACAAGTTGGAGCTTCCTGGTGAGTATAATGTTAGTGCTACTTTTAATGTTTCTGATCTTTCTCCTTTTGATGTAAGTGACGATTTGAGGACAAATCCTTTTGAGGAGAGAGGGAATGATGGGAATCAAGACGACAGCATATCTACTACGTCATGTGATCCATTACACACCCAAGGAGGTCCAGTCACGCGAGCTAGAGCTAGTAAGATGCAAGAAGCTTTAAATGGCCTTATTAAGCAGATCTGGGTTGATAACAACATGCAAGAAGTAAATTGAAGCTTGGATGATTATCAAGTCATGATAAACGTCATTCAGGTTCAAGAGAAGCTTAATTGAGGTCATTCATGCTAAATTACACAGTTTGCGTCAATCTCGCAATTCTATCGCAATTTGTAACAAACTGATATTTCATGTTACTTTAGGTTACTTTTAGTGATTTTCACATTTTTAATATTATTTTGGGCTGAACATTCATTTATTTAAGGCCCAATTCATGGTTATTATTATTAGGGCTTAGGGTGTTAGTTTCCTATTCTGATTAGAATTATTTTTCCCTATTTAACCCTAATTGAGGGGAGGCTATTGAATCTGAGATTTTGAGAGGCTTTCTCTTTGGTTTGTTTCAGAACTTTATAGAACTTATCAAGATTATTCTTGTGGCGTTCTAACCTGACTTATCATTCTCGTTCTTAATCGTTTGAGGGTGTGGCATCAATCGACTTGATACCTTTGGTTCTTGTTGCGACATAAACAATGAGTCAAGGTCCTATTATAAACCTGATTTGGCTTTCCTGGAGTTTAGAAATCCCTTGTCGTGCTGGGGGTCTCATTGTTCTCTTTGGGGTTCTCTTCAATATATGAATTGCTAGGATAGAGTGAAAATCATTCAAGAACAGTTATAATTAACTAATTTGTCTTGTGCATGAGATCATAATTGTATAAGTAGAAAGCTAAAGCCTAAGCTTATGCATATCTCAAGGGTTAATCTTTGGGGATTTCTTCATGTTAAACTAATGATACAACATAAGATGGCACTTTCATACCACAATAGCTTCACCATTTCTTTACAAACCATGTAACAAATTGATGAAGAAAGTAAAATAATTGCTGAAAAAAATGGTAAGCTGGAAGCATCAAAGCTAAAACCAATTAACCATTTTGCGTGAAGTAATTTTGTAATATTAAAAAAGCTAAAAGCTAGACAGACCCTTTTACCACCAACCATTGCTAGAAAAAACCCAAAATTACAGAGACGTCAAAGACGCATTTGAACATTTTGTTATAAACTAATCAGACTCAATAGGCAAAGCTCCTGATTTCCCATATAAACTCAATCTAGACTAATGAATTGAATCATACTGAAGAATCCTTTTGTCTCTAACTTTGTTATGAATTGAATATTATAATGGTATAACTAATATGCATTTAGAAGCGTATTTAGATTCTAACAAAGGTGGTACACAGATACAACTATTCATGTGGGTATCACTAGCTAAACCAAATAACACTGATGATGGGAATCAAGATGACCCCACATGTACCACGTCAAGAGATCCATTACACATTCCAGGAGGTCCAGTCACAAGAGCTAGAGCTGAGAAGATGCGAGAAGCTTTAAATGGCCTTACTGAGCAGATCTGGGTTGATAACAACATGCAACAAGTAAATTGAAACTTGGATGATCATCAAGGCATGATGAACATCATTCAAGTTCAAGGGAGGCTTAGTTGAGGTCATTTATGCTAAATTACATAGTTTGCGTCAAAATCCCACAATTCTGTCGCAATTTGTAACAAACTGATATTTCATGCTACTTTAGGTTACTTTTAGTGATTTTCACATTTTCTATATTATTTTGGGCTGAACATTCATTTATTTGAGGCTCAATTCGTGGTTATTATGATTAGGGCTTAGGGTGTTAGTTTTCTATTCTGATTAGAATTACTTTTCCCTATTTAAAGGGCTTGTAACCCTAATTGGGGGCAGCTATTGAATCTGAGTTTTTGAGAGACTTTTCTCTTTGGTTCTGATGAGAACCCCAAAGAGAACAATGAGACCCACAGCACGACAAGGGATTTCTAAACTCCAGGAAAGCTAAATCAGGTTTGTAATAGGACCTTGACCCGTTGTTTATGTCGCAACAAGAACCAAAGGTAAAAACCTTGATCCGTTGTTTATTATGCAACAAGAACATCTGAATTTGGGTAGGAATGATGCTAATGATGATTTCGATGACAATTATAGAGATGCATTCAACAATGATGCCCATAGCTCAAATTTCAGCATGGACAGAATTATGAGAGGTAGTGATGAGAACCCCAAAGAGAACAATGAGACCCACAGCACAACAAGGGATTTCTAAACTCCAGGAAAGCTAAATCAGGTTTATAATAGGAC